GACCAATATTTATCAATTAAGTTTCAGTGGGGGGTAGGGGGGTTTGGAAAAAAACTGAAGGAATTAAGTTTTTTATCAGACATCGATCTTTTGACGTCGTCCCTAAGATGTTTGTAATTGATAATGAGAACCAAACAATTACAATATTTTAGAAACCACTTGTCAGTTTCCTAAAGATAGTAAAAAGAAATAGAAATGTCACATACAATTTAATTTGGGGGTCATATATGGTATATAGATCAGGTTAATTTCAGTACAGTGATTGCATTGCCATGTGTTAATGGTGTGTACAACAAGCACATCTATACCTTTTGATCGTTCATGCCTCCTCAGTGTACCATGCTCAGCAAATCCTTTGCCACAACGTTCACATTTGAATGGTCTCTCCCCAGTGTGACTTCGTTCATGTCTCACTACTGATGCCTTTTCTTTAAAAGATTTAGTGCAGTATTGACACTTCCATGGAGCATCATTAGTGTGTGTTCTCAAATGCGTCTGTAAAATATTCTTGAAAACAAAAAAATATAAGCACTGTAAATTACAAATAATAATCAGGGTAAGAAATTCAACTGGGTAAATAATTTCTGGTACTAAGTCTAATGAGCTTTTCTTTGCTGAGATATTATTTACATTTCCACAGCCGAGACTAAAGCTAAGATTCCATAAGAATGGATAAAATGCAAGACATTTTTTGATAATGCAAAATGACGTTTCTGATTTCATCTATATGATACAGTTTATGTCAGAATGCAGATATAATTTCAACTTGTTCTTTGTAGTAGTAGTTACCAATGTTATTAAAATATTCAGGCCGATTACTCAACACAATTTAGATATGTAGCGGTTTTGAAAGGAAGCTAAAGCTTTAATTTAGGCTAGCTGAATATTAACTTTTCCTCCACCCCTTCCGTCTTTTCATCACATAATGCACTTTCCCTCAGACGATTGGGACAAAAATAGTGAAATTTTTGAAGTAAAGGCTAAAGATTGACTTAAATTTTTTTTTTATAAGAAAAAAGTGCAGAATAATTTGGGCAAGAAAGTGTGGTGGTGATCAGTTTAAGTTACACCAAGACTATGCTGTAGGTATGAACAGCTGTACAAACAAAATATCATACATTATCAATAGTTGGCAACTATTCAGTACCAGGTCTCTGTAGCAAATATATTCCTAGCACCAATGATGCATGTATTCCTGAGAATCTAGTCACAAAACCTTAATCACCAGTCTATTGTATACCTCATACCATATGCAAGTACATACATGTAGTGGACCCATGTCTTGTTGATACTGCAAAGTATGCACGAAGAAAGTACAGTGGAAGTATCGACCAACGCGCACTGTCTGAGTGAATACTTTGCAGTATCCTCGTAATAACCTTATTATTACCGTATACATCTCAGGAATACATCATGCGAATGTCAAAATCCAAAACGTTTAGAACAGATTTGGCGAACTTCTTTGTGTGGTGTGGGGTCCGGTCAAACCATGAGGGCAGTCATGCTTGTTTTTATTATTAGAGGACATTTATGGACGTAATCAATTCATATTTGTTATTCGCGGTAGAATGAAAATACCCAGTGTAATAACGCAAAATTACGACACGCTGTAACTTATGGCGTTAAGGTGACAGATGTATAATAATACCGGTAGCTTTTAATAACTGGTCACGTAATGTTCAAATAATTATAATTGAAAATAAAGCTTATACATAAGTCACTATATACTTATGGAATCAAACCAAAAACATTTCAATGTGGCATATCTATGCTGATGGAATCTTAACTTTACAAGGTATAATATAGACTTACCTTGGTTTTAAAGCCTTTACTGCAATGTTCACACACATACGGTCTCTCATTTGAATGGATTCTTAGATGCTCTTTCACATGTGTGATACGTTTGTATAGTTTACCACATTCACCACATTTGTATCTTCTTTCGTTGGTGTGAATCAATAAGTGTTTATTTAGAAAATCTTTACAACGGAATCTCTTTGGACAGTATGTGCACTCAAAAGGTTTTTCACCTATCATTCAATAAAGTAGAAATAAGGTAGAAAATTAGATATCTTACTGCGAGTCTGGTTACATGTATTTGTAATATATCTCAATTAGTATATTAAGGTAGAGTGCTATTCATAAATTTTTAATATGTATGCATGTTTTAGCACATATAGCAGTGACAATATTTCATACCAAAATCTGTCTAAAATTAATTATTTTTTATTTTTTTGATTTACATTGTCAATCTGATAAAATAATGTGGAAAAAAAACACCATTGAAGCAGTGGTTTCTGCAGATCACAATGAAAACACATTTTCTCATTAAAAATCCACTAAAAATATTGTCAATTGTTTAATAATACTAAAAATCATATAGTACCTTGTAAGACACTACCCATATATCTTTTTATTCGCCATATGTCATCGGGCAAACTATTGCCATTTAAAAACGATAGTAAAACATAAGAAATAAAACTTTTCATTGTACCCGGTATTTCATTGATCAATTTTCTCTGAACTGAGAATGGTGAGCCCATATTTTTAATTCAGTTTCTTCATCCTTGTAACATTGATGTATCAATATTTTACTTTTGTGTAGCATTCTTCCTTAATAACTGGGATATAAGCAGAATATTGCAAAAATATTGAAGATTGTAATCAACCAAAATGACCGGTACCAATTGGTATGTAAATGTGTCGAAATGGGCGTAGTGCGAGTGGTTAGTGCTACTAGCACTAATCCGAAAAAGTACTAGATCTAGTGCTAAAATGGCACTAGATCTAGTGCTAAAATGCCACTAGATCTAGCGCTAAAATGTGCACAGTGCGAGTGGCATTGTTATCGCAT